CTTTGAATCCACTACATTGCCAGAGGCTGTGAAGGCTGGGTACCTTCACTGTAGAGTGCGGCCCTACGTGCCAAATCCTCGCAGGTGTTTTAACTGTCAGAGATTTGGTCATGGATCCCAGAACTGCCGAGGCAAAGCCACTTGTGCGAAGTGCGGTCAGGCTAACCATCAAGCAGATACATGCTCTAACGACGCCAACTGTGTCAACTGCAACAGTCCCCATCCTGCGTATTCCCGCTCTTGTAAAACGTGGAAAGATGAAAAAGCTATTCTTACCTTGAAAGTGAAGGAAAATCTTTCTTATCCAGAGGCACGCCGTCGCTTTGCGTTCTTGCAAAAAGGCGGCTTTGCAGAGGTGGTGCAGCGGGGGCCTGCACCACTGAAAGTGGCAGTGGCAACCCAGACGTCTTTTCCAGACAATGGGAAGCCACTGCAGTCCCCCACGCCCAAGCTGAAGATTCAGCTCCCTGGGCATGCACTTTCAGCAGGTCGGTCTCCCGACCACTCCAGCCAGAGTGCTAACTGCCCTGCACCTTCAGGGCAGCAGCCTCTTCGTTCTGGCGGAGAGTGTGCACAGGCTGCTCCCCCTTCTCAGGATGGACCGGCAACTGCAGCTGTCGTGCCCGTCCGCACTCTGCGGTCCCCTTCCAGGGAAAGAAGTCGACGCTCTCGTCCGCACTCGTCGGAGAGAGCGTCCTCTTCCAAGGAGCAGCCTGTCTCTTCTGTCGCTCCTACATCGACAAAGGGACAGGAAAGGGTGGAGTCGGGCAGTGCCCTGCCCAACACACCTGCTGCCTCTTCTGCTGGATCAGGCCGTGGCCGGGGCCTGCAACCCCGCGCCCCGAGCCAACCCAAAGCTTTACCCAAAGCCCCGTCCCAAGAGGCGGAGGCAATGGATGACAGCAGTGAGGTGTCTGCGCCAGCGTCTGATCACGACGACATGGACTGGCAGACAGCTAAATCTAAGCAGAAGAGCAAAAAACCAGTAACCCCTCCAAAGTGACGTAGGACATTCTTTTTTGCCCTGCGCGGCAAAATCAAGATTTTACTTTGACTTGTTTTTTACTACTTTTACTGATTTACTAATCTTTTAACTGTATTTTAGAATAATGTCTAAATTTACTTTTATGCAGTAAAACTGCCGCGGTCTTTCACGAAATATTGATGATGTCAATTTTTTTATGGACGAATTACGTCCTATAGCTTTCTCCTTACAAGAGACGCATCTAAATGATCATCATAATTCAGTGTTACGTCGCCATCAGTTTTTTAGAAAAGATTGCCCTTCATCAAATGCATCAGGTGGAGTAGCTGTGGCTGTTCAAAGTGGAGTCGCATGCTCGCAGGTTCTCTTTGCACACCTCTTGAGGCAGTGGCTGTGCGCCTTCTTTCGGATCGCCTCATCACTGTTGTCTCTATTTATATTCCACCAAACATTCCACTGCATCTTCATGATCTCCAAAGACTTGTTGCACAGCTTCCTCACCCTTTTTTACTTTTAGGAGATTTTAATGCTCACCACCCCTTATGGGGTAGCGCCCGCCAAGACTCACGTGGTGGAGTCCTTCAGCGGTTTTTATTAACATCTGGGCTGTGCCTTATGAATAAGAGAAAACCAACCTTTTTCAGTGCTGCTCACAATTCATTTACATCTATCGATCTTTCCATCTCATCCCCTTCAGTGTTTTCTTCATTTACATGGAAAGTCTTGGATAATCCTTTTGGAAGTGACCACTTTCCGATCATTCTGGAGAGTCTTGTTTTAGTTCCAAGCCTAATGAAACGTACCCCTCGTTGGAAACTTGACAAGGCAGACTGGAGTCTATTCAACCTAAATGCAGAGCTTAAGCCTTGCATGTTCTTGTCCCTAACACACGATGAAGCCACCACATACATTACACAACAGATCACTAATGCCGCTTTTCGATCCATCCCTCAAACCTCTTCTAGCATCCCCAAAAAGTGTAAACCATGGTGGAATGATGATTGTTCCAATACTAAGAAAAAACAGGACCAGGCATGGGGTATATTTCGCAGATATCCGACATTCATGAATTTGATAGAGTTTCAGCGAAATAGGGCCCAAGCTCGTTGGACCAGGAAACAGGCCAAGAGGAAGTCCTGGAGAGGCTATCTGTCCTCTATAAGCTGTTATGTCCCAGCAAAGGAAGTGTGGGACCGACTGCACAAAATTGAAGGCAAATACCGCTGCTTTACAGTCCCTCTTTTTCCCTCTGTAAGCTCTTTACATGACCAGGCAAATATGTTGGGTGCTCATTTTGCAACCGTTTAAATTTCATCTCATTACTCTCCAGCGTTTCTGAAGTTTAAAGCAGATGCAGAAAGAACGAAAGTCAGCTTGGCAGGAGGAGCCTCTGCACCATATAATCAGCCGTTCACAATGGTTGAGCTTCAAATGGCTCTCAAAATCCGTAAGCATTCATCTCCCGGTCCTGATCGAATAGATTATGAGATGATCCGCCATTTATCGGAGGAGTCACTCTCAGCCCTCCTGACATATTTCAATGAACTATGGAACGATGCACACTTCCCCGCCGATTGGAAGCAGGCAGAAGTAATTCCGTTGCTAAAACCTGGAAAGGATCCTTCACTTCCTACAAGTTACAGGCCGATTGCACTGACTAGTTGCTTGGGGAAAACGTTTGAAAGGATGATTAATAAGCGTCTTGTTTATTTCCTGGAGCAACGCAATATTTTGAATGTAAATCAATGTGGGTGTCGATCAGGACGTTCCACCATAGACCATTTAGTCCGGCTGGAGACTGTTGTACGAGAGGCGTTTGTGAATAGGCAGCATTGCGTATCTGTCTTTTTTGATTTGGAAAGGCTTACGATACCACTTGGAGGCATGGCATCCTACGTGACTTGTTCATGTATGGAGTACGCGGCAGATTACTTCATTGTATAAAAAACTATCTTAGTGGACGTTTCTTCCGTGTACGGTTAGGCACGACAGTATCCAACAGCTTTCTCCAGGAAAATGGTGTTCCTCAGGGTGGAGTACTGAGTGTCACCCTCTTTGCCATAAAAATTAACTCTCTTTGTCGTGTTATACCAACCTCAGTATCATATTCATTATACGTAGATGACATTCAAATTTCTGTAGCATCATGTAATATGTCTAGTTGTGAAAGGCAGCTACAACTAGCCATAAATAAAATGACTAAATGGGCTAACGAGAATGGTTTTAAGTTTTCTCCAGAAAAAACTATTTGTGTTCCATTTTCTTTGCGGCGGGGCCTCTGGTTAGAGCCCTCTCTGATGTTAAATGGAAATGCCATCGAAGTTAGAACTGAGCATAAGTTTCTGGGATTGATATTTGACAGTAAGCTTAGTTTTGTCTCCATTCTCAAATGGCTAAAGCAGAAATGTATGCAGACATTGAACATTCTTAAAGTCCTCTCACACAAGTCCTTGGGTTCTGATAGGAGGTGTCTACTTCGTTTGTACTTCTCTCTTGTACGATCGCGCCTTGCTTATGGGTCTGTTGTGTTTGCGTCTGCTCGGCCGTCTGCCTTAAAAATGCTTGACCCTGTGCATCACCTTGGGTTGCGTCTTGCGACGGGCGCTTTCAGAACATCTCCTATTTTAAGCTTGTATGCTGACTCCAATGAAATGTCACTCGAAAAAAAGCGGCAGTATCTAAGTCTGGTTTATGCCTACAAGGTGTTATCAGAACCCAGCCATCCAGCCCACAATAGTATTCGAGAGTCTAAGTTTTATCGTACTTTCGAGCATAAGCCAACTGTTATTCGACCCTTGAGTCTTCGTTTTGAGAGTCTCCGTCTCTCCCTTAACCTGCCACGTGAGGGTGTCCATTTCCTAGAAAGTGCATATCATAGTGCCCCATGGGATATGAAACAAATAGCTTGCAATTGGTATTTTACAAAATTTAATAAACATAATGTTTCTCCACTCATTCTACAACAGGAATTCTTAGCTCTGCAAGAAAAATACAGACATTACCGCCAGTTTTATACTGACGGTGCCAAGTCCTCAATGTATGTCGGCTCAGATGTTTATTCAAATTCGTTTACCCATGTTACTCGACATCACAATATCGCCAGCATTTTTACTGCCGAACTATATGGTGTTCTGGCAGCACTTGACTATATAATCAGGAGCAAAGTGATGAAAGCCATTATATTTGTAGACTCTCAAAGTGTTCTTACTGCAGTATGTTCTGTCACACCAACTACGAATAAGTTGACTCGACTTGTACGGGCCAGAGCTCAACAGGGACTCGCTGGTGGGAAGGACATTGAGTTTTGCTGGATCCCGAGCCATGTGGGCATCGCAGGCAACGAGGCTGCAGATAGACTAGCTGCTTCTTCACAGAACCTTTTACCATCGAATGTCTGCATACCTTACCAAGACCCCTAAGCGTCCGTAAAATTTGCACTCTCGTAACTTTGGCAATCTGAATGGAAGTTAGCCGATAACAATAAGCTTCATGTCATCAAGCCAGAACTTGGTGCATGGGAAACCTCGTATAATAAAAATCGTTTCCACGAAGTCCTCCTGTGCCGGCTGAGAATCGGCCATTCGTTCCTAACCCATCAATACCTGCTTATAGGTGAGGAACCGCCGATATGCGAGCACTGTGGGGAAGCTTTATCTGTTCTGCATGTTCTCTTTCTTTGCCGTGGTCTTTTACAACAATACCAGATCTATTTCTCTGAGTTTTTTAAGTACAACATCCCATTTCACCCTGTCTTACTTCTAGGGGAGCAGCCTCTCATATCACTTGAACGTCTTTTAGCTTTCCTCAAAACTACAGGTATCTTACATAAACTATAGCCAAGTTCTAGTCTAGTGAGTGTACTTTTACCAGTGTTTTTTAACTTACCTAGTTTGGCGCAGTATGGCCATCGGAGCTCTTGCGCCATAAAACCCGTAAACAACAACAACAACAACGGAATGTTACCGACGAGCAGAAACGCGCGGAGTAACGACAGGCAGCGTTTTGACAACGATACTTACAGGCGAGCAAATTGACGGGCTACCATTGTCACGCCACTGAATGTTTTTGCATCGTCATGGCCATATCCATATCCTCTGGTATTGCAAAATCCATCAAAGAAGGAAGTACTGAATTCTGCAAATGAAAGAATCTTGCCTTTGGCATATCGTCTTGGCCTTTTTGAACGAGAGAGCATAAAACAACTTAAAGCAAACGGCATGGTCGTATATGAAGTCCAATATAGAAAAAACTGGGAGTATTAAAGGAGACTGAGGAAGTTTTTCTTATCGCCTAATTATGGTAGTGAACTCTGCAGGCTCTAAGCCTCCTAGAAATCTTTAAATCACCACGATGCGGGACCGAATTTTTCATTAAAAAGCAATCAAAGGTCGAATGCACCGAGGTCATCGCACAGAATGAGGGGAGCGTGGTTCCGCCAACATGTGACCAATGAAAACGCGACATGTCATGGAGATTGCAAACGCTGTTCTTATAAAATGTCTATGCTTTTGTTGATAATAAAAGCAAACGAGAGAATAAGAAAAAATGTGAATCTTTCGCGGAGAGGGAACGTAATACAGCAATAAACTTTTCCAAAACAGCGCACTATTCTTTGTTCTCGTCTTCCGCGGAAGTGATGTGTCCGGTCGTCTGCTCTTGAGCGTGCGCTCGCTGGACTGACTTATTGCATCGGTCTTCCTCACGCAGATTCCGTCAGCGACGCGATCTGCGCGAAGACCGATGCGTGTTTCCAAGCCATGTTTCCAAGCCGCTGGTTTATTTCGTCGGGTGCGTCTGCTGCCTCGGGCGGACTGACTTCTTCGCGGCGCGGTTGGCGCGGCCCGCCATTTGCTGCGCTTTAATTTACGACGGCGTGCAACGGTGTCGCATCATAAGGGATGGACCCCATGTCGGCTGTTCGTCAAAGCATCTCTTCCTCGAAAGGCGTCAAGTTAGATAGAGCCATGGCGCGATATAGCAATGGCTACGATGACGATCGACTTTGTCTGGGCGTCCGAAATCCGGTCTGCGTCCGGGCTATCTGGGCGACGAGCCGCGCGCATTCGAGATATCACTCCGTGGGTCCACCAGTCGGAAAGCGAGGATTTTCACTTGCTATTGGCTGTCAGTGGTTCTGGTTTCAGGAAAGATTCCTCCCATTCTCTGCTCTGCGATGACCTCAGTGTATTCGATCTTCGTTTGTTTGTTTTTAAATGGAAAAATCGGCCGCGCATCGTCGTGATTTAAAGTTTTCTAGGATGCTTAGAGCCCGCAGGGGAGTGAGTTATCACCCTTAATAGGCGTTCGCAGAAACCTCATCAAAGGCCCTTTAAATTTTGACTAACTTCTTTTTCTTTTTTTTTTGCGGCAAGAATTAATCGAAATGTTTCAACATTTTTTGCATCATATTTAGTGAAGGCCTGGAACGTTCAGCCTAGATTACTTTGTTGGTAACATATATAATATAAAACACTCGATCAAAACATTCGTCGGCTTATTTAACATAAATTTCACTTCCAGAACTGTTTAAAATAGACGATTAACTTATTACGTAGAGCAGTGGTTCTCAACCATCGATGTTTCGCGGACCCCTTGTGGATTGGCGGAGATGATGGAGGACCCCCTTCGTGGTGAGAGGAGAGGAAAGGTATAGGTTAAATATAATAATGATTTAATAAATTAATATAAGTAAGGGCTAGCGTGAAGTAGACCTTTCTTTTCATATACACACGAGAAAACTTGCCTGAGAAATGAAACATTTCTTCTCGACTTGAGAAAAGATAACATTTATTGCCGGACTTGACTGATGAGGCAGGGCTTCGCGGACAACTAGAATGTTTTCGCAAACCCCAAAAGGTCCGCGGACCCCCGTTTGAGAACCACTGACGTAGAGCATTTCGTTTTGCTCAGAACGTGACGTCAAAAAGGAGGCATATTTGAGAAGATGGCTTCACCAAAACAAAGAGTAGGAATGGCGCGATGCTCCTTAATATTGTGTCATATCTGCCTGTATGTACTTATTCTGAATTTATAGACATGTACAAATTGTCCTCCCCCCCAACCCCCCCCCCCCAAAAAAAAAAAGTAAGAACAAAATGAGTATTTTTTTTGCCCCACAATTAATGTACATCCGCCCTTTCAAATTTGACCGTTATCCTACTCAAAAGTTTAAAGTGATTTTCAGAAATTTTAAATGAGCAAATAGTGTCAACGAGGCCCACGACCCACGAATACATGGAGATGAATGACGTCAGCTATGGTAACGGACTCCATTTTTTCATTCAAACTTTTGATGATAACATAATTCATAAATCAGATAACGGCTAGTTTCGAAATACTGGTTTCTGGTCCGGACCGCTAGCACTATATTTCGTCGGAAACTAAGCTATTTTCAATTATAAAGCAGGATACTCTGGAAAGACGTCGGTTGACGGTAAGAGAAGTGCATCAGCTTTTCTGATCTAATCTACTTGAACAAGGCCGAACTTCTTATCTGTTTGTTAGAATATGTTTTCATTCCGTCTCGCTCTCAACAACTTTTAGCGAGACAAAAAAATAATAATGTGCAAACCTCCACATGCAACGTCGTCATCAACGTTTTGCTGAATTTAAAACTGGTAATACATGTGTGTCAGAGGCATTTTTGGGAACTATTCTACAAAGCAATGCCTATCACTATTTTGGGATCGTAGCACATCAGATAGAGTTAGCGCATTGAACCCCCTTTAACCATAGCGTTTACATGGATTCGCATTGAATGGTAGCAACACCCCATGTCGGATAATTACAGTGTAGTCTTAGTGGAGTAACTGTTTACCAATCCGGTCTGCCCAGCGTTCCGGAAGGCGCCAGCTTTTTAATGTCGAGGCTCTTCCCAGCTCTTGAAAGCAGCGAAAATGCTCATCAAAGTTGTTCCGCTCGCTCTGTTTAACTTTTCAGCAATTTTGCTTGAAGCTGAATTCACGCGGTCAATTGTTGCCTTAGCTGCCATGTTGGTCGTTAAGCATCACCTTCCGGCATATCGGAACAGTATTATTGTTAGATCCTGGCCGGAACGTCGATATGACAGTATCACGTAACTATTTATGTAAACAGGAAGACATGCGGTTAGCGAATGACGATAAACGGCTTGTCTGTGCAACATTCATGAGTGGGATCGCGTATAAACATGACTCTCCCCGGCTCTGCAGGTTGGTGCGGTGTTTATGGTCTGCCGTCTGTTTGCTAGAAGGAGACACCCATACCACTAAATAATTAACACTCATTTTTAGAGCGAGAACTGAATTCGATTCGCTAACGTTTTCATTCAGATCTTCATTCGATTTGAAGTTCTCTAACCACTCCCTTCTATCGGATTGAATCGAATTACCTTGACTTGCGAATCTACACACCTTTGCAAGGGCTGATTAAATACGTCACCTCGATAAGATGTTCTACTGTTGCATCTATGCAACGGCAGCCATTTAGTTTTAACCTGTAGTAAGGGCGAGCCCGTGTTACTCGTGATCTCACATACATATTATGGTCCTTCATATTCCGGTCAATGAACACAAAGTTTATTTCAGTTAAGTCGGAACGCCTTCCTATTCCTGTACATTAGACAACTTGTTCGAAATCTAAGCGGTATATTACTAGCTTTGCTCGGTGTTACGATTGTATGAGCGAGCGCATAGCTTCAGAGGGTGCTTTATATACGCGAGAGCTCCTACAAACAAACAAAAAATGCACAGAGCTTCGTTCATTCGTGTGTGCCTTGAATAACGTTGCACACAATTTGTGAACTCAAGTAAAGGTCAACTTGATTTACAGCCCCAAGACAGTACAGTAGTCTATCTGTAGGGATCCTGGATCCTTACAAGACGACTTGAGGGCGAAAGCCCAAGCGCCGATGGATTAAAGACAGACACATGATTTACTCGCCGAGTCATCCCTCTTAATGTGGTGATTCACCCATCTTAATTCGCTTAGTCACCCACTGTGTGATCAGATAAGCGGTTTGCTACCTTTCGTGTCGCCGACGTGTTTTCACTCATGGACCTTGAAGGATGACTGAACGATAAGACATACAAGGCTTTCGCCTTAATAAAGCTAGCCTGTCTGCATCGACAACTAGAAAAAAAAAACCAGCGGTAATTTCTTCAATGTTCTATGATATGCTTTGTTAAAGTATGAAGGGTGATTTAGCAATCACTATTATTTCACTCACTAATATTCATACCTTTTTAAACGGCAACCTTGTGGTGGCATGATAGGACAGAGTTAGTGAAGTATGACTTATTTTTTTTAGAAACAGGAATTGAATAAATCAGGTGCTTACCGTGTATTGCTTGCAGCTGGTATCTAAAAAGAAAGGGTGTTAGTTTTCTAACATTTTAAATTACTCCAAGTGTTTAAATAGTTCAAAAGCAAAAAAAAAAATATTCTTGCGGGTAATATAGCTTACAGTTGTCAATACAAAAATATTTCAGGCAGTCTATAGAATCCATATACACTATTTACAACCCTTCTAACTTCCTATCCTGCCACGTGGTATCGACAATTTTCAATAGATTTTCTACAGACTGCCTTTCAATCGAAATCTATAGAGTATTTACAGGCGACAAAGATGCTTTAGAATTTCTATGGACCATTCTCAATATACTTCTTTCGGCAAATTTGTGTAGAATTTCTAAAAACTAGACTTGATAGATTTATGCAAGAAAGCACGGACAAGAAAGAACACACCCAGTTGGAAACTCATGGCGGACGCTGCATTCTTATGTAGATAGTGGATAAATATTGTTGTAAGGAAAGTGAACCCTGATAGTTAAGTATATAGAAATCATGCTTATTAATTAAGGCTTTGCGTGTATGTAGAGGGTTTTGCCACTTAGTGTAAAATTGTCCTTTTTGCCCGATGCAATAATTTAGCGGTTGGCGCCCGTCAGACTGGGAAAATTGCAGAGAACAACTCTACAAGGAATTTAGGTTTGGCGGTTGGAGCGCCAGGATGACAGCTCGCCGACCATTGGAGAACTGCGTACCACGTGTGAGTGGTGGATTTTGAAGAGATTGGTCGGTTCCTGAGGGGAAAGGAGGCCCCTACGGGCCTACAAAAAAAGTGCGGAGAGGATTTTGAGGAGATTCGGACTTGGGATTTGATGGAGAGAAATTGGGGAAGGGGGTTGCGACTTTAGACGAGACAGGATGGTCTCCCAAGTTGGGACTTGTAACTAGAGTGTAAATAAATGCACATATTTCTCTTCAAGCAGTGAGTCGACCCGTCACTCAGTGACGTTCGTGCCACCACGCTCCAGACCATCGGGGTGGAACCTGCCTCCCACACCACCGGGAGGACCAACAACCACAACTTTAACTCTGATATCTGTTATTATATATTATATTTTAGACATTGAGAGATTCTACAAAAGAAACTGCACATTCCGCGCCCAATATTCTCATACATTATCGATAATCTTCAAAAGGCCTATTTGGAGATTCATGACGCACTGAAAATAGTAATGCATTCGCTCACCTTCTTAAAGCTGTTTTAATGTAAAGTAGAAAATAACTTACCCCCCCCTATTCTTAAAAAATAGCTAACTGAAAATTTAATAGAAACAATAATTACTTTTAATGATAAACTTTCCGAAACTTGTAGGTTCAGTATAGTCAGTGTGTTATGTGACATACATCGATGTATTGTTACGCTACCATGTGTTGATAAGGGTTGAATATATTGCGTGGAAAATACACGATCTACCCTACTTGTTGTTAAATATCAACGTTTCAGTCCAATGAAGGGTCGTTTCAAGACATACTGCGTGCAGAAACAAAACAAGATCTAAATTAAGAGTAATAATAATGATTTGATGGCAACGTCGTTCCTTTGGCTACGGTGTTTTTCGACACCGGGACAAAGGATATGGGCGTTGGGGTTTTGAAAGTGAAACTTTTTGCGCGAGGGACAGGCAAAATCTTGAAGGTATGTGGAATGAGTGCAATAATTAACGACTTGGTGCCCATACGTCGTTCCAGCTTAAGCTCAAAAGCAGCTGACGCTACGAGCTAATGAGACCAATCAAGCAGCGTCAACAGCGAATATCACTGGACTTTTTTGGTTATGATTGGTTCAGCGAATATAGAACACGTACATCAACATGACGGACATCATGTGGTGCCATTTTGACGATGTCTGTCTGCTCCCATCAGTTCGTAGTGTGGGCTGCGTTTGGACCTAAGCTAAAACAAAGTATGGAGAGAGTCATATAAGTGTACTTGTTTCGGCGTTTTGGAAAGAAGATGAAACGAGTAACGCAGCTACGTTATCCGTTACTCGAAATAGGTAACGTAACTGCTTTACCTGTTACTGTTTCGAGAGAATAACGAATTCGTTACTACGTTACCAAAAAAGTAACGCGCTACCGGTAACATCGTTACTTCTAATGCTTTACCGCCAACACTGGATGTAACACATATACAAAAACTACTGAGTTGCCCTCTTCAAAGGAAAGGTCACGTGAAAATTCGAAGCCGACTCTTCCCTTTGACACTTCAACCTGCAGCACGTTTTTGCCATCTCTTACTAAAAAAGTGCTATACAAACATAATTTTTTACGCGCCGTAGTATGGGCAAAGCCATATTAAAATCATGTCACCCGGGCGCCATATTGTTGTTTCAACTCTTCACTCGCCTCCGCAACTTGTCAAATGTGTTGTATTTGTACTTCTTCCGTGTTTCACCATGTGCTATGCTTTACTCGGTCGACAGTACCCCGATTCTTTTGTTTACGCCTAATCGTCTACCATCGAACTGCGTACTAATCTTAATGACTATGTAACATTCTTTTTGTGCTTTCTGTAAGATAGTTGAGTAGTGTAGATCCTATTTTTGCTACCGCTTGAAGGGATGCGCACTTACGGATGTAGTAGGAAAATCAGGTAATCAGATGGAAAGTTCCGCGTGATTCCGAACTCCTGTAGTCGATAAAGGTACTCTTCAGGGCTTATCTTATTTGCTAGGAATATGCTGCTTTCATTAGGCTGGAAAACACATGAATCGTCGTTACTTTAATGAGGCACTCTATGCACTTCCAATCAGTGTAACAGCACAGGCATATTTCTAAGCACTTGATTTCTAACCAAGGATTTTTACGCGTAATATTGTTTCAATGCTTACCGTCATGTTATAAGTGTCAACAAGGATAAACACCAAGCTTGGATTTTCTAGATCACGAAAAAAAAGGTTGACCTGCAAAAAGAAAAAAAAAAGAAAAAGACGATTGATAAAAAAACAGTTTGAAGCGCAAAATTTTTGAAGTAGCACGAAATATATAAAAAGTTATGATATGTGCAGTGAAGCGTTTTTTTATTTCACGGTATTATATAAAAATACTCAGCAAACTCGTATAGCAACACGTGAAAGCACACTGAATATAACTCTTAATGGTCCGCATGCTCCAGTTAACGTTCCTCGAAAATCATTACTTTTAATTAAGTCCTAGCATACTTCCACTTAAGCCATCAAACGCCACGCTCTCACATTATTGCTACAACACCGCCTCGTTTACAAAAAGAAAGAAGAAGAAATGTTTAATTGCTGGCTAAATTACCTGCATCACCGAATCACATACACAAATTAAACTTCCAGCTGTTCTTCCCTGCTCAATAGGTTGACGAAATGTCTAGAGGGGTAAAGCGCGTGCCTCATTGCCTTGTCTGATTGAATAGTTTGGCCGGAAAGCTCTAATTTAAGAAATATATTTCTATTAGGAGCAAAATAATTATGTAGAATAAAAGCAAACCAGTTGTTTTTTTTATGGTGAAGGTTGATTGCGTCGCAAACTAAGCAGTAATTCTACTGAAAGTGCTTTTAGAATTTGGTAGTTGAAGGAGGTGGGGTTATGTTTTGAGCTCACCGTATTTAAGAACGTTTGTAGATACACGTCCAGAGATGCATTTTGGTTCCTGTGATATTTGGTGAATAAATCTCGGTATACATTATCGAGAACAAATCGCACTCCAATTTGCCGAGTCTCTGAAAAAAGTCTAAGCATCAGACATCTGACATTGATTCAAGTGCAATAAATGTAATTAACTCATAAATACGGCTTGTACAAAAAAGAGCAAGATTATATATAGCGCACATTAAGCCTGCATGGTGTTCCTACATGTTACGCCTAGAACCCTATCATTGTTTTTTTATCATCGTCGGGCCAGTTCCTTTCTCCTGTGCATCCGCGTTATCTTTCAGCCAAAAATTCACCTCCAGAAAATGGGCTGTCCCAGAAATTGGTGACGCCCCCGCTGTCTTCTCGGTGATTATGGCAATTTGATATAAGGCCCATGAAATAGTACAAATATTTAAAAAAAGATAAGTTAATGTTGATCTGACATCTTACATTTTCAGAACGTAAAGAAGGCAGGACCATGCAAAACCAAAATGCGTATCAATTTTTTTTTCTCGTTCAATTTATTTGCGTTCTGAACTCATAAAAATAAGCGGAATAGATTGTGCCATTTTCAGAATCTACGATGCGATCGAGTCAGCCTGAGCGTACATCGAAACAGCCCCCCAATTTCCTGAATCACGCATTGCAGCTCGCGATTATCGCGAGACCTCCTGAGATTTTGCGGAAAGGTCTGGTCATATCCAAATATTAGCGTGACAACCGGTGGTAAGGCTACAAAGCCCCAAATTGGACCACATCTTAGTAAATATGAATGGAGTCAGCGCTGCTTCACAAGCTTTGATGACACAGGATTACCTAAAGGTTTCATTGTCATATCATTTTGCCGTCTACAGCTCATTTGTCACCGCCTAAAATCAACTTCATTCTTTTATTTATCCGCCAATGGAACACCCATACAAGCGCTTGTTTAGAAGTGACCACTTTGAGCACAAACGTTCCGCTTGAAGTGGTAGTGGTGTAAGGGTCCGTTCCCCCTTATCTTGGGTTATGACTGGTGCAAACAAGTTGAAATTATTCTGATATTTCTGAAAAAATAGTAAGGCTATTGTTACAGTTGAATGTGATTAATCAAGAATCTTTCCTACTCCAGAAACGAGTAATCCTTTGATCGCGGAGGAAGAAACTGAGACAGAATACTTTAGTAGAACTGTAACGAGAGTGGATACGAGTGCTCACCCAGTTAAAGGATAAGTGAATCCAGATGTCCTATCAGGAGGAAGTTACATTTACCATCTTGACTACTCATTCAACGTTACTTTATGGCAACCGATGTTTTGAGGTTGTTAAAGTTACTTGGCTTCTTGAGGACCCTTTTATCGTAGGCATACTCCAGTTATAATTATATAAAGACTATCTACCAATTGCACGCCAATTGCACGTCGACTTTTGTGGAGTATGAGTTGCATCGGCAATAAAAATTCAAGAGGAACTAGCTGAGGTACTTGGTAATTCAATTTGGTAGTCTTTTCTTATCTCCTTTTTATTTCTATGCTCAGCTGCTTCCACCCAAAATAAAAATTTCTCCCGTATCAGCCAAATTGGTTCCGGTGAAACCTCCACGGTCCATGAAGGACTGTGTCTCTGAAGGTCGGCGGAACGCAGCACCTAATCGTGAATATGTGGCGGCTCGAATGAAGTTTGTTGTCCTGCAGTGGGTAAGACACGTAAGTTTTAGTGCTAAATATGAGTTGTGATGAAAAAACTTTTACTCCTCGTGATCAGCTTGGTAACATCTCCGATCTACCGATCGAAGTTGTGGTCACAACGGTAGATACTGAACTGCCTCACATGATAAAATGACAAAACCGGTAAACGTCGTTGACTGGTATGTATCTAACTTTGGGCCGAAGTTTTCTCGTGATCTGCAACAGAATATTCAGACAATCGTATCACAATACCGAAGCTGTATAGCCATTTCTGATGATGATCTGGAATCGACGTTGCTAGTACGTCCTCGAATCCAGAGCAGTGACCATTTTCCCATACATCAACAACCAAGACGAGTCTTCATGACGGAACGACGCGAAATGTAAAATCAAGCTGATGACATGCTTGCACAAGAAATCGTTACATCATCGGCAATTAAGTCCATGGCCATCACCCGTTGTCTTTGTTACAAAAAAGGATGGATGTGGACGATTTTATGTTGACCACAACTAAACAGTGTCTCCAAAAGAGATGTTTACTCCCTACCTCCTTCCGCCGATGCACTAAATCGAATTTACAATTTTTATTTTTTTTTTACAATTCACTAGGCGTCATTCTTCATCACCGGTCGTCGCCTGCGTCTGACTGTTTCCTGTAGAACTGAATAGAAACGCCGAAAGACAGGGAGAAAGTGAAGGAGGTAACAACAATAAGGAGCGCACTCGCAACTGAAAGTTTATTTGAAACACACTAACTTAAATGCTTCAATGAAACCACATTACTTTCAGCGACCCCACTCTCTCTCTCTCTCTCTCCATCAAAATAACATTTTCTTATCTAAATCTGCCACAGACGGCTCACTGATACACTTATCGGCGTCCTTCTGTTTTGATGCAAACGATTCGTAAATTTCCTAACTTGTTTTTCCGCTGTGTTGTCCCAGGATAGTTGTGTTTGCAAACAAGTGAGTGCACGGGCATCGATCGCAGTGCATGGCGAGATGCCCAAACGCTTTCTGTTTGATAGCTGTTGCGTAAGGTCACTTTATAGTGGAAAGGTAACGCCATTCATTGTTCTAAAATTCCTGCGCCGAAACCTTCTCACCCTCTACAAAATCCGTCTGAACTTCGTGAAAATCCTCCTCTCCATTATGTCTCATTGATCGAAAGGCCCATGGGTTTTAGGTTGCGACTTCCGTCCGGCATTCCTGCACCCCGGTTCGCGGACTTTGAGGCTGGCTCTACCATCGGCGCTTGCGACGCAACAAATTCGCTGCATAGTTTACGTTGACGTTTGCGCGTTAGGATTTTTTTTTTATGATAATGATATGTGATATGCCGACATGACGTGTTGTTGCGCTGTGGGCTGCTCGAACAAGCAAGGAACAGGGAACGAAACAAGAAGAGAAGAAAGATTTGGTTGTCGCGAGTCCGGAGGTAGGATTTCGTATTCAAACCCACATCCAGGATATGTGACGTAGGTTGCTGCAGCTCCTAAGAGAGTGTTGTTCACTATATCTCCCAATACTACACTCTTTTTTATCATACGTGCGAGTTCGTTTTGAAGGCCGCTTTAACGTCGCGAGTATGCGCGCGTGCATAATAAATTATGCACGCGCGCATACTCGCGACGTTAAAGCGGCCTTCAAAACGAACTCGCACGTATGATAAAAGATTTCGAATTCTACTTATAAGTAGAATTCGAAATCTTTTCTGTTTTGTGCAGTGCTTTAAGTGTGAGGTGTCTCAGGGGGTCCTGAAACCCTTTCCGATTTTGGCGGGGGGTTTGAGACCCCCCGTTATACCTGAGGTCCCTCTGTCTTTGTCCTGTGTTTCGAAAACAAAGGTGACAAGTCTTGGATAAATCGAAAGAATACATAGCTGCAGAAAGAAGCTGTAGAAGTGTTGGTTTATTGTTATCGAAGAGGCACAAATAGAGTCCCCCCCCCCCCCCCCCCCCCCTTTTTTTTTTTCCGGGGGCCTCTCCTTGAGCTCGAGCTAGGAGAGACACCCCCCCCCCCCCCCCCACACACACACACACAGACACACACTGGAGGGAGACTTTAAGCCCTAGTTTTGAGTATTTTTGTCAGTTCGTATTTTCTTTCTCCGTTTGTCGCAACTTCTAGCTTTCGCACGATACAATTAACTGGAATACACTGATGTCTTAAAAATAAATAACGAACGAAAACCATAGGCCGATTTTTCGCATGCATAGCAGAAATGTGGGAGCAGAAGTGTCGGTATGCTAGCGGCGGCGAGCCAAATCAGGTGATAAGACATTGTTTGCGCGTTAGATGTCTTTCTTATTCTGTATTCTGCTAAAATGCATATAGTGCCAATAAATTACTCGTGGTTTACGTTGAATTTTCCGATGGACTGCTTGAATGTTGACCCTATAGCATGTGCAATAGGGCACTGCATTGTTAACATGTATAGCCTATCTAAAGCTATGTCAATATTCCCATTGGACACTAGTTCCATCACTAACAAGTGACTGATGAAATTCCGTTCCTAAGTGTTGCACTCACATTATTCACCCATATACTGGGGAAACCATTTACGAAAATACTAATGCCTAAAAATGCTCGTAACTTTTTTGGTGTGTATAATGAAGCAATTAATAGCAAGCTGAAGTGATCAGCCTGCAGTACCGTACTCGCACATGTTTACAAAATAAAATTTGTATTTTGCGTTTCGTTACGGTGCGTAATGGTTGTCGCTGCAGACGTTTCAGCGCTCTGATAACTGCTGCGGGCTATTTCTGGACAACTATACTTCATTTCGCCGTACCTGCGCAGGAGGCAAAAGCAACAAGCGCGAGCATGCAGCCTAAAAAACGTTACCCGCACTGTACCAGCTCGCATGCGAGAAGGTAGGCACGGAGCGTAGCAAGCTTTCACTTTGCTGGTCCCTACCGTGAAACGTATAAACAACCAGCAGTAAGACCAATCTCTGTTCACAGCGCGAGAACGCGGCTTTGAAATATCGCGCTAGTTGGAATGCGCCTGGCATTCCAACTTGAGGAGCGCGTACTAATTGCCTCTTACCACCCTCGCCCTGTCACTCAAAGGTCAGACCACGGAGGAATGATGTTATGGGTATCTGCTAAGAAGTTCAAATTTGTTGAATAAATGTGCATACAGCGAAACATAGCATCCGACTCCGACCCCGAACAACTAAACGATCCGAGCGTAAGACTAGCAGCGTAATCTAACGCGCACCCAAAGACGTACTCGCGCTAAGCGTGTGGCAATAACAAGACAAACCCAGAGGTAAATATAGCGTCGATATCGCAAACTCAAATCCCAGAGAAAACAGAACCGTGCAAGCTAAAAGCAAACAAGAAACACGCAATCTCGCAGCATTTCCAGCGGCAACCAGCCGAGCCGTCCCACAGAGAGGGTGCCCTAGGCTGG